CTTTAAGGTAACGCACAGACCCTGAACCTATCAGTTCTGGCTACCTAAATAGAAACCTGAACCTATCAGGTATGTACTAACTGACAAACAGTTGTACCCAGTCTGACACACAGACTCCAACTCCTAACTCCAAACTTCTCCACACAAGCTCCAAATATATATACAGTACAGCTCCTCCCCCCTGATGTCCCGCCTTCCATTCCCCATAGGATGGAACTTTCCCTCCAAACCCATGACAGACAGGTACCATCAGTGCTCTATGTGACAAGTAGAGATGAGTACTGAGACACTCATTGGAAGGCATCTCTCAGACTTGAATGGAACTTTCCCCTTGAATGGAACAAGATTTGTCTCCTTGTTCAGAGACTCAGGGAAGCATACCAGGCTGTATCTTGATATCCTTGAGTTGCAAAAATCTTGGAATGCCTAAGAATGATAGCAGCTATGATGATCTGCTTGATCATAATAGAAATCATGGGAAAGTAAAGTTGGAAGGGGCCGACAAGGCCATCAAGTCCAACCCCCTGCTCAATGCATGAATACAATCAAAGCATATCTGCCAGGTGATTATCTAAGTTTTTTTGAATGCCTTCAGCGTTGGAGCATTCACCAACTCCTGAGGTGACTGGTTCCACTGTTGTACTGCTCTAACAGTTAGGGAGTTTTTCCTGATATTCAACCGAAGTCTGGCTTCTTTTAACTTGAGCCCATTGTTTTGTGTCCTGCAGTCTGGGATGATCGAGAACAGATCTTGCCCTTCCTCTATATGGCAGTCTTTCAAATATTTGAAAAGTGCTATCATATCACCCCTCCATCTTCTTTTCTCAAGGCTAAATATGCCCAGTTCTTTCAGCCTTTCCTCATAAGGCTTGGTTTCCAGCCTCCTGATCATCCTTGTCACCCTCCTTTAAACTTGTTCCAATTTGTTAGCATCCTTCTTGAAGTGTGGTGTCCAGAATTGGATACAAGTCTCAAGGTGAGGCCTAACCAGTGCTGAATAGAGGGGGACTAGGACCTCTTTTGGAAGGGGAGTAATAGATGGTATCGATACACCATATGAGGTGCATTCATTCCTACAGTGGCATGATTTTTCTTTTAAAAAGACCGCATATACATGCCCAGCACGGAGTTCCTGAAACTATAGTGGCCAGATGCAAGAGGACTTTGCACCTATCATTTAAATAACCATCCAGAAGAAGAAAATTTTAGCCTGGAAATCTGTGGTTCGTTCATGGGACCTATGTGGATGTATGTTGTGTGTATACAGTTGTTAGACTCTGGCCATTTTCCATTCTTAATGTGTTTTCTGTAAATGACCCAAGACCTTTTAAACTTTTCAAACATTCTGTGAATGGGGCTGAGTGAATTAGGACTGGCATTTTTTGGTTACTGAATTTTAAAACATATTGTATTACTTTTTAAAAAAGCACTTTATGTTATTATTTGCTTTTGTTAGGGCAGCCTTGTAAATATTGCTTTCTATGCCTGTCCTTTAAAAGAAAGAGAAAATTCATCACCTTGAAAAGGGTTTTACCTAAAGTTTGCATATGACCTTATATATGGGCGAGAGTAGCTTGTGAGTAGGGCAAAGCGGTACCTCCCTCTGAAATGTTGAGGTGAAATTCCCTCTTCCCCAGGGTAGATTTTATTTAAATCAAATTTAATTTTTTTTAAAATGGTTTTGATCATTTAAATCACTGGTTCTTAACCTTGGGTTACTCAGGAGTTTTGGACTGCAACTCCCAGAAGCCTTCACCACCAGCTGTCCTGACTGGGGTTTCTGGGAGTTGCAGTTCAAAGGCATCCGAGTAACAAAGGTTAAGAACCACTGATTTAAATGATGATGCGATTTTTAAAAAAATCATTCATTTCGATTCATCCTGCTCTCTGCCCCCCCATGTCCTGATCCATGAGTATGCAACATAGTTAATATAACTTAAATAGTAGTACAATATATCTCACAGTGGCAGGGAAGACTGTCTGGTGACCTGCATGTCTGGTCCTCCTTCCACTGTGAAGATGCTAACTGATGATGGACCAATTCAAAGCACACTTGGAATAGAAAGACAGAGGCTACTCCCTGTGGGGCAGCACATCTCATGGACACGGGATAGGCAGATAATTTTCAGAGAAAGTTGTAGAGATACACCATAGCAACGGGAATGTAGACATCCCAATGACTGTGGCTTCTATCAGGTGGGGTGGACTCAAGCCATCAAACTCTGTGACTTCCCTGTAACTGATTAAAGGCTTTTTGTTGTTTAGTCATTTAGTCGTGTCTGACTCTTCGTGACCTC